ATCTCAATGCCCACAAAGTGGTAAAGAAGATCTATGAGCAACGTCTTCAGATGGTTGAAACAGGTCAAGGTGTAGATTGGGCCTTTGCTGAAGCTCTGGCCTTTGGGACATTGTTGGAAGAAGGGATTCATGTTCGCATATCTGGTCAAGATGTTGAGAGGGGAACATTCAGTCATAGGCATGCTGTAATTGTTGATCAAGAGACAGAAGAGAAATACTACCCGCTTAAACATGTCATGGAGAAGCAAAAGGCCGAAATGTTTACCATCAGCAGCAGGTCAGGTTTATATATATTGCATTTTTGTTTTGGTTGATCATACTTGTACATGCTGGTTGAATGGTCTTAAAATCATGGACTTTATTCTAGGTTCTATTACCTTTTTAACCTATAATTTCTTAATGTAATCTTGCTGAACCGAACTTAATTTTTATCTGAGATTATGCTGAAATTAATTTTGAGCTTAAGTTATCAGTTTTAGCAAAGTTTGGTTTTCGACCTTATTGAGAATCATGCTGATCCATTTGCATAGTTAGCTACATCTATCTGTTGGCTTCATTATGCTTACAAGAAAACTTCCCTGATAAACGTGTTTAATATTGTTTTGTAGCTCTCTCTCAGAATTTGGTGTTCTTGGATTTGAGTTGGGCTATTCGATGGAAAATCCAAATTCACTGGTGCTTTGGGAAGCTCAGTTTGGTGATTTTTGCAAATGAGGCACAAATTATATTTGATCAGTTTTTAAGCAGTGGGGAGGCAAAATGGTTACGTCAAACTGGGCTTGTGGCACTGTTGCCTCATGGCTATGATGGTCAAGGACCTGAACATTCGAGTGCTCGTTTAGAGCGTTTTCTTCAGGCAATTTACCCTGAATATTTTATATTTTTTATCCTTGCAGTTTTCCTGCACTGGACTCTGACACTAATAGCTCTATATATCATTTTTCTTATTTGTAAAACTTGTGATGTTCAGATGTGTGATGACAACCCACATGAGATCGCAACTGATCCGACAAAGCAGATCCAAGAATGCAACTGGCAAGTGGTTAATGTCACAACCCCAGCAAATTATTTTCATGTTCTGAGACGTCAGGTATATAAATCTAGCATGAGACATCCATATTAGCCCCTTTTGAAAGTTTATTGTTGTTCAGAAGAATTGAAATGCCAAATTTATCAGGTCCACAGGGAATTCAGAAAGCCTCTCATAGTGATGTCTCCTAAGAACTTGCTCCGCCATAAGGACTGTAAATCATATTTATCTGAGTTGGATGATCTGCATCAAACTAGCTTTAAGCGTCTCTTGGAGGACAAAAACTATCAGTCTGATCTTGAAAAGGGTGTTAGACGTCTAGTTCTTTGTTCTGGCAAGGTATTTAACATTCACACCTTTCCTGATTCATATCTGAAATCGTATAAAGGAGAAAAAATCAGTCTAACTTGGGAAAAATTGATTGCACGCTTTGAAACAGATCTTTTTTGAATCCTGCCTTATTTGTTTCTGCAACTCTTTATATTGTTTTATTTACTAGTGCAGTATGACAGTAGGAAACTTGACACTCAAAAAGGTTATGAATTCGCTTCGGAAATACTCAAAATTTCACGTGTAAACTTGATTGTCTTGAACCATTTATTTGTAGGGAAATAGTAACAAGAGAAAGCAGAAACGCGATATGTGCACACAAATGGCCTTTGAGATAATTTTGATTAAATGCAGTCTATCTGATATTTGTACACATGCATTTATACATGAAAATATTAACCAAAGTTTAATTTTTTGAGCAGTTGAAATACTTTGTTCATATTATTTAGCCTTAACTTGTCCGATGCTTGGGTATGTACCCGTACCTTGAATCATCATATCTGTCATTACCATATCTGTGACATATTGAGATTCCAAAGCATTTAAAAACTTTGAGGTATTGGTGCCTTGAATTGAATTTGCTTCTACTGAGGCGTATTTCACTACATCTTTTTGTTTTGTGTAATATGCAGGTGTATTATGAGCTTGATGATGAGAGGAAAAAACATAACAGCACGGATATAGCGATATGTAGAGTTGAACAAATCTGTCCTTTTCCCTATGATCTAATCCAGCAGGAACTGCAGCGATTTCCAAGTATGTTGCAGCAATATCCAGCAGAATCTTCACTAAACATACTGCATATTGTTATATGCTAGTCATTAAAATTCTGACTGTGAACATGCAGTATCATATAATCTCTATAAATTCATGTACTTCTCTTTTAACTGTTTGACTGTTTCAGATGCTGAGATTGTGTGGTGCCAAGAGGAGCCGATGAATATGGGCGCATTCAACTACATAGCACCCCGTCTTTGTACTTCCATGAAAGCTCTTCGGAGAGGAAATATGGAGAGTATAAAATATGTGGGTCGTCCTCCTTCTGCTGCTACAGCCACCGGGTTTTATCAAGTTCATGTCAAAGAACAAAGTGAGCTTGTGCAGAAGGCCTTGCAGCCTGAACCAATTCATTTTCCTTGGTAAAGATGATGACTTCTGTAAAGACATGCATAATCCCATCTCCTACCATTTTTCACTTTGTATGTTATTTTTACCATTGAATAAATGTGGTTACGGTTGTGATCATTGGAGCTTATTTTACAGTTTTTTTGAACTTAATTTTATTGGACTTCATTTAAGGTACTTAACTTCATGATCATGGGATGATGGGAGCTTATTTTTTTGAACTTAACTTCATTTAAGGTACTTCAATTATTTTACAGTTTTTTTGAACTTATTTTTATTGGACTTAATTTTGCTAACTTAGGCCATGTTTTCTCATTTCCAAAAATTTACGGAAATTATATATGGCAAATGATTTATAGTTTAAAACTTACAGAGAGTATTAATCAATCAACATCAATCATCAATCAATCAATCAATTCATCAATCATCAATCAATCAATCAATCATCAATATCAATCAATCAATCAATCAATCAATATATATTACTAAAAACAAGCAAATCAATGTGAAGCTGACACATGTCGCTCTATGATTTGTTTGTCTTATAATGGTAAAAAAAAATAATGTAAAGAGACCTTAGAACAATAATTTTGGTAAAAAACTTATTGTATAAATCATTTTGATTTAGAATTTTGTTAATAAAATTTTATAGAATCTAAACTATTTGGAAATAAGTTAATTTAGGGCAACTTATATATTTAATGAATTTATGCTAATATGTTAACAATTTTTTGAAATGATTGATTCAAATATATATATATATATATATATATATATATATATATATATATATATATATATATATATATATATATATATATATATATATATATAATTTTATTATATCTATATTTTCATAGTATATATAATTAATTTTGGAATAATAATACTTGTCATCAACTTTGCCATTATATTATATGTAACATTTTTCTTAATTGTACTATACATATTCACATTCTGCAATCTTTTACCTTTTTCACTTTTACCTTTTAATTGGTAATTACTCTATTTCATTATCTTCGTCTTTTTAGTTTATTTTAGGGTTGTTTCTGGGCTAATGCATAACAAGTATTATCCGGAGTCTAAAAATGATATTTTTTGAACAAATAGACATGTTGAGTACCATGTACTACTGTACTAGGGTTGTACTTGAGTGAACCTATTCTAATATTTATATGAACATACTAATGTTCTACATATTTTTTTTTAAAAGTATTGTACTTACTTATTATTAATTGCAACAAAGAGGTATAATTTATAGGATATAAAAATATTTCTTAATTGCAATTAATAAAAAAAGGAGTTAGTGTTAGTTTTTAAAAGTCAAACTTAAAATTTTTGTACTGTAAAACCTATATAAAACCTTTATCATAGGAAAAAAATGTTTTATTAGGGTGTTTATGATGAAGGGAATGTAAAATATTATTTGCATTGTCATTTTTAATCCCTTGGTCATTATATATATATTTGTGTGTATATATGTTCATTGTCATTCCCGAGATAATGCAAAACGGGTATCATACGGGTTGTACTTGAGAGAACCTATTCTAATATCTATATGAATATACTAATGTTTTACATATTTTTTTTAAAAAAATACTATCCTTGAATTTTTCTGGAACTCTCTTTAATTTTATGCAAATTTAAGAAAAAATCCTCGAGCTCCCACCTACCACCTACCAACAACTTCTTCTCAAGTAAAAGTAAACTGCTCATTTAACTAAGCTCGCCGGCGGCTACTTCTTGCCTGTGGTCGCCAGCAAGCGTACTTTGCGACCTCCCGGAACTTTCCCTCTTATCTCAAGCGATATTATCGGAGGTAACTTAGCAATTTCCTTCTTTATTTCCTGGTTTCTTTTCCTTTGTTCTTTCTTTTAGAGTTTTAGTTCTTTTTAGTTGGGGTTCTTGTTTCTTGGGGATTAGCTTGTTTCTTGTCAAGAGTGTAATGGATCCTGCTAGTGTTCATACTGCACATGTCATGTTCCATTTAGAAGAGGGTAAGGATGAAGAGGAGGTAAATGATGTGATGAATATTATGAGCTCTTTCCCAAATTAAAGTCAAGAAGAACCGCAATTCCCAAATTGCAGCCAAAGTTTTAAGTTTTCCCATTCTACCGTCCACGTAAGCACTGGTTAAAAAACCGGTTTTTTTTTTCCGGTCCAGGGTAAACCGCTACTTGAAGTAGCGGTTTCTTTGCAATAAACCGCCACTTCAAGTAGCGGTTTCTTAGTTTAAAACCGCTACTTGAAGTAGCGGTTTGTTTACAAAAAACCGCTATTTTATGTAGCGGTTTATTTTGGAAAACCGCTACTTCAAGTAGCGGTTTACTTTGAAAAACCGCTACTTTCGCTACTTGAAGTAGCGGTTTACCCTGGACTGGTTTTTTTTTCAAACTTGCATAATCACTCAAAAAAAAACCTGCAAGTTGTGTACCTGTAAAACATGAGATATATAGCATATTTTCAACACAACCACCATAAATAACAAGTTTATGAAGATCTAAGGAAGTCGAAATTGCAAAGTCGAATATTTTTCAATTGATTAAATATAACAAAATCCAATTCTAAGCATTTACAAAAAAATTAGTTTAGTTCCAAAATATACACTTAGCTCGGGCGTTGCTTCTTCCCATGAGGTGACGATGAAGATGATGCAGCTGTCTCCTCTGGAATGTCATCCAGGCCAACTCCAACCCCAGACGTAGTGTTGCTACGCCGTCGGTTTCTCTGATACTGGCGATGCACTAGTGGAGGAGATGTCATTATAGTATGCTGAGAAGGAGTCGGTGGACGGAAGGCACGTGCTGAATGGCCTCCACGATGAGGTGGTGGTCTGATCGGCATAGTGTGCACAGTAGAAGATGAAGACGTGGACGGTCGAGGCTGCTGAATAAGGTGTGACTGCCCCACCCTAGACAAGGTTTGGCCACAAAATGATGTAAAACCCTGCATCGTCTGTATGGCAAATGGTATAGCCGTCTCTGGTGGCAAGTGGGAGATGGTCTCAGTAGCTCCCGATAGCTGGACGTGCAAATCAGCAAATGCATGTGCCTACATTTAAGTGTAGTTTTAATGTTAGTAAAATGAAATCAAAAACGTAAGAACTAGATTGAAATGAAGTGAAGTTCATACAAGCAGGAGGTCAGAGGTAGCTGGCTGGTAATGACTCGGGGGGCGCTCCTGCGAAGGTGGAGTAATGACCAGTCTCGTGATGCGACGGTACCAAGCCATGTACTCTGTCATGGCCGGGGAAGAAGTCCTAGTGAACGGGTATCCCTGGACGACTAATGCCTCTCGTCGACTCCACTCGTGTACATGGTCCGAATGCCGAATCTCCCAATTTCTCTTTCACAAGTTGCACCATTGTCTTGATTTTCAATGAAGGATCAACGCGAATGACATCTAGAAGAGCATTGCAAACGAACTCGGAAGTCAGTAGCTTATGATCTCCCGAGTCGATGTCACCAACACAGTTACTTGCATGAGGGCCGTTGTACCTCACAATTTTAAACGTAGAGAGTGTTGGATCTTTCACTCCTCTAAGCCTCCACGAACAACTACATTGTTCTTTCCTCTTGCACTCAACAACATATTTCTCTGGCTCTACCTCCACAACTCGAATTGTTTGATTTCTAGCTATGGAGTAAGATTTCACAGCATCTTTCAGTTGTTGCAATGAGTCAAACTGCTGACCAACCTCAAATTCTCCCCCATTGTTATATGTCTCATTTCCTAACCAAGACATCCATGAGTTATTCAAACGAGGATCAACTTGCGCCACTTCATTGAAGTCTGAAGTGGGGGCGCTTCCTTTAATTGCCTTATCATGAGCTTCAATTACCTCTTCATCATCATCTTCATCAGTGTCATTCATCTCTGCATCGCCAAATACATCAACATTGTTTGGGTCAAGAGAATCAAGAATGCCTTGTGGTTGTGTGCTTGTCGAGGTTCCAACATTAGGCGATGAGGCCGGAGACCTAAACTGTGAGTGATGGTCATTGACATAATGTGGATCAACAAGCTTCTTGTGAATGACCCTATGCCCACACTTTGAACACCAGTGGAAAACGGTTGATCCACACTACCAAAAAAATCCATCCCCGGAAAGGAACCAGTGTTAGTTTGCACAACTGGCTCCTTTGGAACTTGTTCAATGAACAATTGCATTGCAACAGAAGAACTCTGAGTCACAGCAATCCACATAGCTCTAACAGCGTTGTCGTCATTTAACGGAATTGCAACATATGCCCCAGCCATAGGATAACGCATAACCACCTTCAACTCCACACCTCTAGGATCAACACTCAATTCTTCATATAGCTTGTTCAGAACTTGTGAATATGTCATCGCAGAATGTACAAACACAAATTTTTGATTCCCACCCCTATACGTTATATCGCTATCTTTGTGGACAATTTCTCCACCTCAATAGCAATATAGAGGGTAGTTCGGAACCTCCATGTTTCATTCTAGAAAAGACCATTATTAATCAAAGATATTAGATTGCAAAAATTCATTAACAGTGTGGCAATGTCCTAACATCAAGCAAGCAAACTACACAATTATAGCAACCTAAACTGAGCTATGAAGGTCTTAATACCTCTTGAAGCTCAACATGGGCATAAGTCATGACTACATGTACTTTGAGCTCATGTACTTTGTGTATAGAAGCTCTATTTTCACTTTCAAAATCAGCAATTATAGCAACCTAAACTGAGTAATGTGATCGAAACCATTAATAATTCTACAAGGGTTATATGTAAGGTAAGTAAATCAACAACAACAACCAAAACCAACCACAAACATACATACAATTCTGAAACTCAATAACAACAACAAACTCAATAACAACAACAAACCCAATAACTGAATACAAAAAATAATTAGGGCACTTACCACAAACAAGAAGATCAGCACGTTTCTTCTGAAATTAGCGAAGCCGACCACTAAAGTCGAACCCTCGGCGTCAACAGCGGCGGCCTTCGTTGCTGAGGAATGCTCCGGCGGCGTCGGTGGATTCCTTGGCTGCGCCGGCTTCCGTTGAAGGAGGTGTGATTTTGGTGGAAGGCGTGGATGGGATTTTGGTGAGAAGACGAAAATGAAAGCGGAAAGTGAAATCAGGAAATTATACCTGCTAGAAAACCGCTACTTGAAGTAGCGGTTTATTAAACAAAAACCGCTACTTGAAGTAACGGTTTATTAAAAAGAAACCGCTACCTGAAGTAGCGGTTTATTAGTAAAAAACCGCTACTTCAGGTAGCGGTTTTGCTGTAGACCGGATTTAAAATTTCTTCCCCCTGAACCGGTGACGTGGACGGTACTTTGGGAATTCTTAAAACTTTGGCTGCAATTTGGGAATTGCGGTTCTTCTTGACTTTAATTTGGGAAAGAGCTCGAATATTATTATGCATTTTAAGGGGCCCGAAGACATCTTTCCAATGTGTGTTAAGTTAAAGGAGGAGGGTAACCAGTTGTATTAGAAAAGATTTCTTGATAAGGCTTTGTCTTATTATGTTAGAGCCACTAAAATGTTATGTTTTTCTGAGCTTAATAGTAAGAAGGATGGTACTTTGTATTGTGAGCTTGCTACTTCCTTGAATCTCAACCTTGCTCTTTGTTCAATTAAAACTAATTATTTGTTTGCTCCTGCAAAGGATTTATGTTCTCTTGTTTTGGATTTCGATCCAAATATTGTGAAAGCGCTATATAGAAGAGCTCTTAGTTGGAAGGGGATGAATAGGTTAGAGGAGGCCATGAAAGATTTGAGTTTGGCGATCCCAAAAACCCTGATATTTTAAGGGAGATTTGACACCATGAAAGAGTTATTAAGAATCAAGCCAAATGGAAAGGTAATGGCAGGAGAGCAATGTGGATTGATGAATACCAAGGGAAAGAGAGTCAAAACTTATTCTCAGGAGAGCCCTTCTTCTACTCATGCTTTGTTGAGTGAAGGCTCTAGTTCTCCAGTTGGATTAGGAGTGGGATTGCTTCCCATAAAAAGGCGTGTGGAGGATCTTAGGGGCAATGATATAGTCGATGGTGTCAAGGCAAATGGACAAGGTTATCTGAGTAGTACGCAAGAGAAAAGTACTACAAATGCTGCTTACTTGGTTAAGGAAGTTTGTCAACCGGAGGAATTTGGTATTTCTAGTTGTGACAAACAGGGGGCTCCCTCTATGAGCTCTCATTGTCACAATTTTTCAAATCACGGCAATGGTGTCGATCTCGCGGAGCCCAAATTTCGGTTTTGAAACCGACGGAGGCGGGGCTCCATTATATCAACCTCCAAGAAAGATTATGAACGCATGGCTCGTGGGAAATCCATTCTTTATTTTGACCCAAGGTCAGGCTCTTACCTAGTGGTAAAGGTGGTGAGGCCTTCAATTGGTGAACCAGCCATTTATTTGGGTGGTGAAAAAGGCACGGGAAGCCAAGAAAAGGAGCATGAGGTTATAGATGTGACAATGGAGAAGTGTTCTACAAGTTCCCCAAATAGAAACCCAAGTGATGTTGAGCGCAAAGAAGAGGTCCACTCTTCTACAGAAATCACTAATGTCTCATCTAGATTATCTATTGCATCCTCCAACAATTTCAATTTCATCTGCAAATCCAAGGGTAATTCACGAAGGATAAGTCGATGTTTAATTACAAGGAAGGCTTTTCGACAATGGAACACAGGGAAGAGAAGAAGGACGAACCTGAGTAGTGCTGCCTCTAACATTTCTACTAACATGTTTTCTAGTTGCAGGTCCCAAATTGGCAAGAAGAGAAAGATTGTTACTCCCCCCATTTCTGATCCTCCTCACTACCAGAAGAAGTCCACTTTTAATGCTAGCTATTGTACTTGTAGTTCTAGTTTCACGTTCTTACGTCAGTGTCATGAACTTGTGTGTCAGTCGTGTAAGTCTACTAGTGTTGTTTCCATCCCATGAACTGGAAATATACTAGTTGGAATGGGTAGGTGATTGTTTGGCTTTAAAGCTTTATAACCTGTGTCTAAAAAAAATAAAAAAAAAATATTATCCTTGCTTCTTATTACTTGCAACAAAGAGGTATTATTTATGGGATATAAAAATATTTCTTAGTTGCAACTAATAAAGAACGAAGTTAGTGTTAGTTTTTTAAAAGTCAAACTTAAATTTTTGTGTATTGTAAAAACCTATATAAAACCTTTATCATAGGAGAAAAATGTTTTATTAGGACGTTTATAATAACGTGAATGTAAAATATTTTTTGCATATGCATATATATATATATATATATATATATATGTATATATGTATATATATGTATGTATATACATATATATATATATATATATATATATATATGTATATACATATATGTATATACATACATATATATACATATATACATATATATATATATATAATATATATATATATATATATATATATATATATATATATATATATATATATATATATATATATATATATATATATATATAACGGGTATCATGCGGGGTTTAAAAAATAGAAATTTTATTGAAAAAAAAAGACATGATGAGTAGCATGTGATTAGGGGATTTTTATCCACCAAGCGCCGTTTGACAAGTGGACCAACCAGGTTCCGCCACGCGTCCTCCACGGACCACTTAAGACACGCCACGTGTCCACCCATGCCAAATGGGACAACCGGCCATCAAGGCCCATTTCAGTCTAGAAGCCCGATCGGCCCTAGGTTTACCTTAAACCTAGAGAGTTGCACGCTTCCCAAGGCTATAAATACTCGATTAATCCTCATTAATCAAGGACCGAATACATTACGGAACACACTAATAACCGGCTGATCTCGCTAGCAAAGCAGATTACCTACATTGAATACTCTCACCTAGAGAGACCTTATTACTTTAATTTCTGTATTAATTACTCCTTAATCAGGTACTAACTTGACCGTTGGAGGCGGAGCTCTCAGGAGTCTCCGTTATTTTGCAGGTACAGGCGTCCGGTTCCAGTCTCGGAATTGTAACTCTCCCGCAGGACATCAGAAAACCCCGAAACATTTGGCGCCGTCTGTGGGGAGAGTACTTCAGAGATGGCATCCAAGTCTGTACCGACCCCAGAAGAGAGGCGTCCCCTAGACGACCCTCAAGTTCAGTCGGACCATGATACCGAAAGTGAATTTGAAGTTGAAACTCATACAGCTCCAGACGGGACCCTAAGGGCCCGCCGTACCCGTCATACTGAAATAAGGGAACGGGGGTATCTTCAAACAGGAAGCGAGCCAGCAGGCGCACCGCTTGCTCGGCAACAGCCGACTGATGGGTCTGCTCCCATCACAAGGAACGAACTCATGACCTTCATGAGGGGATTCAAGGGAGAGATCCAAGAGTTGATCAACAAAAAACCGCCTGCTTCAGTCAAAGAGCAGGCGGCCAAAAAACCTTCCACTTCACTGAAGAGGAAGCCAGTTCAAGGGCGAGAGGCGACTCCCCATCCTAAATCTAAGAAGCGGGAGCCGTCTGCTCTTGATTTCACAAAACTCCGTTATCCTACGGGAAATAGGAAACCGGTTCGTCATATTCAGGCGGACGGGTCAAAGCAAACGTTCACAGATGCTCGGCACCTGCTAGAGCAGAAGAGGAGTGACCGATTATCAGAGTCGGCTTCTACTTCAAATTTTCAGGACAGTTTGCGAAATGCCTCGATGAGGCCAACTCAGTCGTACCATGAGAGTCAGTCAGGCGCACCTCCCGACAGTCTGGCTTTCATAGTGCGCAGGCGGTACCAAATTTGCCATTTGTGCCGCAACAACAATATTTTATGCAGCCACCTCCATTTGGTGGACCTGCAGCAAAAAACGTCCAACCTATGGACTGGCAGCTACGGCTGCTTAGACTTGGTGAACAGCCGTCGGCCTTCTCCAAGGAAATTACTGAAGCCGCTCAGCCGGCCAAAGTAAAAAATGTTTTAGTAGGCGCCTATGATGGCACTACTAACCCGGAAGACCATCTGATGGCATTCACCAACCTGATGTACCTTCAAGGGTTGGATGATCCCACTTGGTGCAAGTGTTTCCCAGCAACTCTCAAGGGAATTGCACAGCAATGGTTCGGCAACCTGCCGACTGGTTGTGTAAACAGTTTCAGGACGCTTGCTTACTTATTTGCCTCCAACTTTGCAATGAACATTCCTGCGAAGAAAACGACCCTTGATTTGGGAACAATTCAGCAGGGTGAAAAGGAGGGGCTTCGTTCCTACATCAGGCGGTTCAACCTGATGAGAATACAGATTCAAGGGTTACCGGATGAGGTAGCTTATACTGACTTTTTTAGAGGTCTCAAAGACGGGTCTACCTTCAAATTTGATTTAGTTCGAAAAAGGGTGGCGACTCTTCAAGAGGCCTTGATTGAAGCAGAAGCCTATATACAGGCGACTGATCTGTGTACAATGAAACAGTCGGACGGGAAGAGGTTCGACAATAGAGAAGGACGACAGAAACAGTCGTCCAACAAAGATGAAAAAAGAAAAGGGGTCTGGGCGGCTGATTCCTCTAAACAGCCGGCCAAGAAGAAAAAGGAATTCAAACCATACTCCCCAAAGTATGTGTTTAACAAGGATAACCAGTTTATCCTAAAAGAAATAAAGGGACGGCTCTCAATTGAGAAACCGCTCCCCATGAAGGGTTCTGCGAGCAACCGGAACCAAGACAAAATCTGTGCTTATCATGATGACATTGGTCATCACACCAACGACTGCATTAGTCTCATGCGGTACCTAGACCGCTTGGCTGATCAAGGTGATCTTGACACTTATGTCAAGAAATCTACGGGGAATACTTCCTCAAAAAAGCAGTCGGCCAAAAAGAATCAACAGGCCGACAGTTCCGATACTGATGATGCAGTCGTCTACACCATTGCAGGCGGCTTCTCAGGAGGCGGCCCCACTATTAGGGGCAACAAAGATAATATAAGGCGGTTAGATGTAAATTCCGTTCACCAAGAACGACCGTCCAAATATACATTTCCTGAGATTGTCATCACTGAAGAGGATCTAGGAGGAATAAGGGGGCCGCATGACGACCCTCTCGTTATTGAATGTAAAGTGGCCAACCAGAGAGTTGGTCGAATCCTCATAGATACTGGGAGCTCTTCAGATCTCATCAGCAGCAAATGTCTGTCAAAACTGAAATATCAGACGGACTGCATACATCCGGCCTC